GCTAGACATTGCAAGAATGCGTCGGTGACGCCTGGACACCCTCGAATAGATAGAGAGTGAAGACGCTTGCAATCTTTCCAAACATTACAGAGAACAGCACTGGAAAAATGATAACATTCGTCAAGGTGCAATGTCTGCAGTGAGCTCAGTTGACGTCGGATGGTGTTCAAGCCTGCATCGGTCAGTGCGTGGCAACTGAGGAAGATAAATACACTGCAATAAATTACCAAAGCAAATCTGGAAAAGTGGTTTCTAGCGTACCCAGAGACGTCGAGACTCGTCAGAGACTTGAGTTTGCTCAGATGTACAATGCCGCTGTCGGTAATAGACGTTCCTGCCAGTATAAGCGTCCGAAAAGTACCAGAACCTGTTTATAAAAATAATAAATATTGCCTTGTTGTATCTTTCAAAAGTGATTCGATCTTTACCACTTGCAGCCGGATGTGACGCAATAGCAAACAGCCATTCATTGGAGACACAGGTGAAGTTACGCAAGTCAACTTCTTGTTTCGTCTTCAAGCCTCTGGCATCCTAGCGGTCCAAACTATCAAAATGTCGATCTAATTTGTCGTAATAGAAGGTCCCTTTTTCTTACCTGACAGAGCAGCTCAATTGGAGGCATCGTCAGGTTCTTTGCATCGCCTCGGCAATGAAGTGTAGCTCGTTGCATCTACCACAGTGGCACGCAAGATTAAAAAACAAAATGGTAAGAAATGATCTAGCCGTCTATTCGTCAGGCTCTGAATAAATTTAAGCGTACGCGCTCCATGAGATTATTGGACAGCTGGCTGGCCATATTGCGCTGCTTCTCGAGCCGAAGATGCTTCGCTCTCGCCTCCAAAGCCCCATGTTCATACGCATCGTTCATCGATGCGTTTGATTCAATTTGTGACTCTTCAATAAAAAAAAGTAAAAAAAAACTAAAACAACACTTTTTCAAATGATTAAAATATTTATTTAAAGAAGTGCTTGCCAAATGATTCATACTGTAGTATTAATTGTTTTTAAAACAGCACACCGTACAAGCGGGCGGTTAACATGCAAACACTTTGCTAAAGTTATTTACATGTACAGTGATGTTGACACCCGTAAAGTCCCAAGACCAACATTGCATTCAACGGTCGCTGTCAGTGCTCGATCTCAACTGTGTAGCTCCATATTGTCTGCGCGGCAGTTGCGCACTACGTAGCTGGAGGCTGCGACTCTGAGCTTCGCGTCGTAGCAGCTTCATCTACCTGGTGTTTTACAAACTCTCGAAGAAGAATGCAAGCCAAGAGACTACATGTAGTACCCTTTGAGAAGCTCGCGCTCTTCTCCGCGGACATATGCAGCTTGGCTGTACCGGTACTGGCGGCTTAGACATAGCACCCAGAAGCCCGTCCCGCCAAGAACAACTTCGAAGTTTTTAATACATGTAAAGATGAGATCACCGCCACATACGACCGCTAAGCGAGAACCCCCTGCCACAGCCTTATGCCATTAGTAACAGAACGCGGCATAACGACACTCACAAGGAACTGTCAAAACTGAAACGATACGAAGGATATGTTGCTGGAGTTGCCTTACAGGCCATCCGGACCCACACATCGAGCCCGCAGTCCCAGTGACATGCTCGAGCTTCCCCGTCGCGGGGCTTAAGTGTTCGGATCGGACAAGAGCTTGGCCTATCTAACGGGAAGCCATTAAAGCACAAATGTTACAATAGGCACCGCAAAATGCCAAACCTGCATTTTTGGATGGATTTTCGTGAAGGAAATACACAAGAGCACTTGCCAGATGTGGGCTCCATGCCGGGAGTGACGTCAGTGTGTCCACCATGTGCCTCAAGCCTAGAGCACCAGGATTCCTACATCTGCAGCCTCAGGAGACAAAAAGAAGCAAAATTTGGCCTTCAGCTGCGGCACTGGCACCGCTCAAAATGCTGGTAAAACTGTCAAACCTTCTGACTTAAATATCAAGGAAAGCACACGGTCACCAACTCGATAGCAGCGATCACCGCGTGGCCATCTCCTGCTAGTAGCAGGCTGCTACAAACGCCTTCGACCAACGATGCATTTATCTTTGAAGTTACAGACCGTCCAATGCGGACATAGAGTCAAACTGCATGACGCGCTATAGCCCGGATCATACGACGGCGAGCGCACGAGCAACGTCAAAGCGCGGGCAGATAAGCTACAACTTTGAACTTGCAGCAGCGAAACGTGTGGTGCCGACCTTTTCGGGCTATTCAAATTCAATTTCTGTTGTCATGCAGAGAATTGCTTCGTTGCCTATCAGAAGTTTTCCTTTGCTGGTGACTCGCAACAATATGTGTACGGCAGCAGTCTTGCAGCATTTAATACACAGCGCTTTTAATACATGTAAGTACCGGTGTATATCTGCAAACGCTGATGTTTTTACGGTGGGTAAAGTTTTCAATCACTTCGTAAGTAATGCGCTTTCCCGAATCCTGATATTATATGTGGCCTCTGATGCATTCGCTCAGTTCTATTCGAAGCCGCTGCAAGCATCCATCGCTATATACAGGGTATATTTCTACCTAGCCCCCAAAACTCTTTAAATCAAAACAACCCAAACGCTTTGGTGAATCACCAATGGTGATGACGGAGAGCTCACAGAACTCACGACGTGCATAGATTGCCACTCCCCTGGCGCCAGACTTGGAGCACGGTGCTCAGCACCGTATCAGCATGGCGTGCCTTCTCTGATTTGCTTCTCCGGCCGGTGCCGCCTATGCCTCGCTAAATGCTGCTACTGGTGCTATTCGACGGTATGAGCTCGACACCATGGTACGATGGTTGGTCCACCGTCAATGCAAACAGGCTATAAAGCTCTTGCCCTTATCGGCGCCTGTTTACTGGAGGAAGTCACAAGAGTTGGGATCAATTCGATACGTATTCGAGGATGCAAAATAAGAATCCAGGTTTTCCGGTTCTTGAATACCCATCAGGTATTAATACTTTTATATTACTGCGTTGCGCTATTCGTGACTTGCCTATTGCAGCAGCATCAGATGCAGAGGCAAACTCCTTGCTGTACCATTAACTATCTTGACTATTGCGAGTGTAGCGCCGCAGTTAGGGGAGTTGGCGACTTGTTGCTAAAGTCTCTTCAGGGCTCCAAGCTCGGAGCTCATCGGTCCGTATGACACGTGCACTGCCACCAGCCGAGCCGCACGAAAGCAGCGAGAGCAGGGCAAATGAAGTGGCGAGACGACAACCGCGACATCGATTCTCGAGCGCCTCGGCACGCCTAGCCGCAATAGCAAAACTGCAATCCAAAATTGTGGCTAAAGGCAAATGTTTGTCAAATGTTTTGGGTTTCCGCGACATTCTCGTTCACAAACACCAAGTCAAAAAAGAAGGAACCCCAACAGCCGATTTTGAAAATCCACTTTTCCACTTTTTAACTGTCGAAGGTGCGTCCTTCCTCATACAGTCCCATCAGGATTAGCTGTCGTCTGTCTGTTGGCGCTAGAACTCATCGGTGCGAGGCAACTTGGCTGCCATTGCACATTTCGATCACTCTGCAGCAACAAACGTTCAGTCCGCAGCAAAGTCAAGCAGACACTTAGCAACACACAAGCTAGCAGCACCTGCCCCATACTTCCACTACCTACACTACTCCTTATCTTCAGTACTCTTCCAACACCGCAACCATGCCGTACGAGAGCTTCATGCCGCAGCAGCAGGTGGAAATCACCGAAGTCGTGCAGGACACGACCACCAGCGCGTGGATGTACGTGCTGCGCGTACAGCGCGGCAACACGAGCACATACTCGTCGCCGCGCGGACCCGTGGAGGAGGGTTTCAGTCACGAGTACGTTATCAGTCGTCGCTTCAGCGAGTTCAAGCAGCTCCACACGGCGCTGGTTTCCGTCATGGGCGACGCATTGACGCCGTTGCCGGCCGACGGTCTCATGACGCTCATCATGGCCGACAACCAGGCGCTACTGGACGAGCGTCGTGAGGTGCTGGCCCAGATCGTCATGGACATTCTGAACCACCCGGTGGCGCGCGATCTACCGGACGTACTGGAATTCCTTGGCCATGAGTCTATCAGTGCAAAGGTGATGGCTCCGCTCTCAGGCCAATGCACGGGGTCGATCCGCAAGACGTCGTGTCCGGCGTGGACTGCGCCGTGCCGGGCGTCCGTCATGTCGTCGTAAGAGGAGCAATCGCATAATTCTCTCCGACCGTGTTTTGACACGCGAGTGATGAACAACCGCCAATGCA